GTTAAGAGAGAAATTTGTCACTTAATGCAGATAGCTGATGAATTATGTTTACAGATAAAGTCACTCAAATCCAAAATGCAGAGGGGGAGAAAAATCGCAGAAAAAGGACTGAGGAAAAAGGAGAGCTTGCCAGATCTGGATGAGGGCACTCCAACATATTCTGAAGGTTGGATCCAGGAGAGGATGACAAGGAGAAATGAGAGCTAGTACATAGAGAGAAGTGGGTGAAGCCCACAAACGTGGGTGGTTGGTGAAGGTAGGATGGGAGGACGCAAGTGCCAGCCTCACCTCCAGCACTGCCTCTTCCTTGCGTTCCCTCTCCACCCAGAAAAGGGGATGGAAGGGGAGCAGGCAGGCACATGCTCACCCCAGCTTTCCCATCTCGGGAGCACCGAGGAAGGGAGGAGGGCATGCAGCATGGCCCCAGCCTCCCCAGACCCAGAGCACTGGTAGAAGGAGGAGGGCACACCATGTGGCCCAGCCCTGGAGCACCAGGGGAAAGGAAGAGTGTGTGAAGCACAGCCCCAGCCTCTCCAGCTCTGGAGCACCAGGAGGGCGGGCACTAGGTGGGCTCTCTAGCTCTGGAGCACCAAGAGGGTAGGCACTGGGGACAGCAACACTTTGCCACCACAACACCTACAGCAGGTGTGCTGGGGGCAGAGTTGTGCCTGGTGGTTTGGGAAGGCAAAGCCTTCACCTGCCAAGGCTATAGGACGCCCATGACTAAGGCCAGATGAAGGAAGCAAGCAAGACACCTCAGGCTCAGTAACTAGCAGAGAAGAAAGGACTGGACTGGACTGTCATTGCTCATTAAAAGTGCTGTCATATGGGTGGAAATTGGGGCCTGTGTGTTGTGTAGTCTTGCCTTAATTTTTGTATTCATGCTTGTCACTGTGAATGAAGCTATTTGCATGTATATACAACCACACTTAAGTTGTGTCTCTCGGCATGTGCTGTGAGCATCATTGTGGCCCCTGCAGCCTCCGAAGTAGAGTAGCCCTGCTGTATACACTGGTTCCAGTGTGAAGGCTTTTAGCTCTGGCACTCATCTGGCTGACATCACTGCTATGAGGAAGGCAACCTTCCATAACTGAGCCAGAGAGTGTGTTCCCAAAAGCTCAAAGGTTGGTCCCATCAACCTAGAGAGAACTAAACTGAGGTCCCATTGAGGCATGGGGTCATTGACAAGAGGGAAGAGTCTTTCAAGGCCTTTCAGGAACCAAGTCAACATCTCATCCAGAAACACCAATCTGCCCTGGATCGGAGGGTTAAATGCCACAAGAGCTGCAAGATGAACCTTAATGCAGGACAGGCTCAAATAGATATTTGAGGATGGACTGCAAGGATGAATCTGAAGGGGAAGATGCTTCACTCAGTCACTCACAGTGAGGACCTCATCCTCTTCACCAGTTAAGTTGTCCTAGTACAGGGCTTCCTGCTAACTATTTCCTGCACTTTCCTAGAGCACACTTACTCGTCTAGATTCAGCATGTAGCAGCCACTCTGCGAGGTGGAGAGGTGGGATGTAGGAGATGACTGTGATCCTGTGATGAGAGATCCAGGCAATCAGGCTGCATCTAATGTGGGCTACAGCAAGGTCCAAGAACATACTAAGCTGAGTCCTTGAGCCAGTGCAGTTTTTTTCTTTTTTTTTTTTCCCCCTGCAAATGGCTAGACCATGGAAACAGTGGTCCTGCAGAGAATTTTGCACTTCCACCCACAGCCAAGAGGATTGGAGCTCTCATCATCGTAATGGCAGAGGCCATGGTCTGCATCACCAGATCAGCAGCATCTGAAGTTGCCTGCAATGCCAACCTAGCCACACTCTGGCCCTCTTCCAGGATGACTTGAAACTCTTTCCTGGGAATCTCTAGAAGGGAGTCAACAAATTTGGCTATAGATTGCCACAAATTAAAATCATAGAGGCCTAATAGGCCCTGACCATTTGACACTCTTAAGCCATAGATTCACTGATGAATAAACCATCCTCCTTATTCTTGGGAGTAGCACCTGACTGACCCTGTGTTTCTTGCTTATTCATCACTGAAACTACAAGTGGGTTGGAGCAGGGTAGAGGTATATAAGTTTTCATATCTCTTAACAGGGAGTTGGGGTACTTACCTGGTATAGCTCCCATTTGGGCTTATAGGCACCATCTCGAACTGCTCCCATTTGCCGTGATTCCTGGCCAATGGGAGTAGCAAAGGAAAAGCCTGTCAGTAAGTGCAGGGAC